CTGTATGCCTTTGATAAATATTTGCTGAATGAATTAAATGGCACGAGATGCAAATGAGTAAAAAGGGTTTTCTCTCTTCAGTCTTTTACTCACTTACTCTGCACCAGCTGTATCATCCACTGGTACAACCCACCTGCATATATGTCATCCCCAGCTCTTTTTATAGCAGCAGTCCAAGTGGCCCTCAGGGCTCCTCCATTTGTGATACAGGAAAAGGTGAGGAGAAAAACGAGGAGTCAAAAATAGGATTGAGCCTGTTCCTCACCGACAAGACAAAAGAGTATGAAAACAAAATAAATTCCATTCTCTCAGCCCAAGTAATCCAGAAACTGATCAGCAAGGGGTAAGCTGGGTATCTCCTCAGAAGGCACCGGCTTAAACAGTCTTATCCTTGCATTTTTATAAAGATCTTTAGATGAACCGTGTCTGCTAAATTTTTGCAAATCAGGTAAATGATTTTTTTAGCGGGACAAGGCTTCTTCACAAATTTTCCAAATAAAAATATCGTGCTGGTTTTAAGTAAACATCATAAGTAGAGTATTAAAAAGTTTAACTACAGATGTTCTTCTATGGTATCATTCCCTTAAAATAGAACCCTCCTAAAAACTCCTAAAAATAAGTCTGCATAGTTTCATTTCATTTTCAAAGAAGGAGATAAACATATCAAAACAAACACTTAACTGCTTTTTAAAAGCGCCTCTCTGCTACATGGGGCTCACAGATCAAAGTCTAAAATGGCCAATTTCTTCACCTCTTACGTCGATGACACAGCTTTGAAAAAGAAGAAAAACAGTCCCCCTAGTGTACCGCCGCTGTAGAAAGAGGAAGTATGTTAGTTGAGAATCACTGACGAAGACAGTACTGCCGAAGGAAATTACAAAACAGTATTTCAGCAACAAGGGCCAAGCTGAAGAGAGATTCCTCGTACAGTACAATCCTAACTGGCCCTTTAATAAGTTAGTCCAAAAGGTGACTGGGGTCAAAATCAGAGTCCAGTATGAAATTATTATGCCTCTGTTGTTTTGAAATTGTTGAAAAAAAATATTTTTAAACATCAAAGTTGCAGTTAAAATAACATCTTTAAAAACTACAGTATGTGAACAGGAACTGGGTGCATTCATCTAAAGAGCTAGAACTGTAAGGACGGCAGCAAGTGTCACGGGGCAGGCCAGCCCTCATCTTTCACCCTTGGGAAGAATCGGCAAGAGGACACATCCTCACACAAAGGAAGACTCGGTCACTTGCAGCAGCAGAAGTCCTCTCACATCTGTGAAGTTGCAGGAACCACCAGAGAAACTCATAGCCGCCTAGCATTATTGTGCCCTGACCCATGGGAAGCACAGATGAGTTGGTGTGTGCAGGAGAATCAGTGAAAAATGGGCCTCACCAGGTAAACCCTGGAGTTCTAGAGGTCTGCCTGAGACAGGAGGAAACAGAGACCTCACCAGCTCAATTATGGGTGCAGTGCAAGTAAGCTTAATCTGAGTTAAAGGAAATGTAACCTTTTCCCCCTTTAACCACATCTGATTATTCATTTCTACTTTAATGCCCGAGGTAAGGGAACCTGCGAGATAGCTATCACCTTTCTCCCTGGCACGGTTTGCATCTGACAAATTCAAGTTAACCAAGAGCTTCCTCCTTTTGTTAAAATGCTCCTTTTTTGCCACCTTCGTCACTTCACAGTTCCTAAGTACCCTTCGTGATAGGCACCAGACAGCTATACAGACACTGTGTACTCACTCAGCCTCTACCAATAATCATTCATCTTCCCAATGCTGAAATAATAACCAAGAATTTTTAGATGGAGAGACAAATATGCTTTTCAGGAAAACAATTTCTACTTATCTAAGACTACCCAGTGCTTAGTACATAACCTTTAGAAAGGATCAATTTAAAAAGAAAAAATAGTGTGATAAAGATCTCTAGAGCCACAGGCTGCTAATTATCTCTGTACTAACCAGTTGTGTGATCTTAGTAAAGTCATTAACCTGAAGAATCAAGATCTTCACCTATAAAATAAGGGGACTGAACTAGATCAGCAAACCTCATCCTGGCTGTACATTAGAATCACCGAAGAAACTTCGAAAATAAAACAAAAACAACCTCACCAACCAATACCCACACATCGGCCCAATTAAATCAGGTTCATTGGGTACTGTTATTTTTTAAATGCTCCCAGATAATTCTTACATGCAGCCAGGGCTTTGATTCACTGGTCTCGATTCTGATCGCTAAGGCCTCTTTTCTAATTTGCTCTATGCTCTTAGGGTGATAATTCTAGTTACAAGATCTCATAATACAAAGGCCCAAAAAGCTACAAAGGAAGTAAGACCTAGACACTGCACACTATGCCTGTGTGCACACATGACCAGGAGAGGTTAACCTGAATTCTAGACATTTTTATAAGTTAAAAACCTGAATGTAAAACTCAGAATGAAAGTAGCGTGGCTTAAAAGCACACACCTGCTTCCAAATGACTAATCATGATAGGAATCAACTCCTGAAACTTGGATGCATAGAAATAGGTCACGCTTAGCTCCTGACCTCTCCCTTTTCCCTCTACTTCCACCTCCACTAAACCACAAGCACCAAAAAAGCTTGGCTATTAGTCATAATCAGAATGTGAAACCAGCAGCCCCAGTTTCAAAGGGCCTTCTCCATCATCAAAGATTTGGAAGTTCCTGCATGGCTGCATCTTTTGGTAAAGGTCATCTTGCAAAAACTCTAACTCAATTATATCTCTATAGTCTTCAAGGATTAGTTTAATGTGACAATCAGAAATGGACCTGGTGTAAAATTTTAAAGATAAAATATTCATAAAATATGCACCCTGTATTAAACACATTACTGCTGGGCAGTTTCAATTTACAATGCTTCATAAGATTTTAAAGAAAAATGAGATAGCAGAGAAGGAAAAAACAAACCATGAGACCAAAAATAGTTAAGATATAAAACCACAAAGTTTAAGACTAGGCCCCAAATCTCTACTGCAGATCCTGTAAGCTACATGAAAATATAATTAATTCAGTATCAATTCATGGCTATTTTTGGTGGCCACACTTACCCACATAAATCTTAAAAAAAAAAAGTTTCAAATGCCATAAACTGGTATTATCTTTAACCATAAACACGATGCAAGAAATATTATTTGTGGTGTTAAAATTACTTTCATAATCTTAAAAATCATGAAAAAGGTGAAAACCCTTGCTATGTTAACTTTCTAACTAACTTAAAGCTAACTAACGGATTCTCTGCACCAAATCCAAAATATGTAGGACTAAATTTCAAGTGTGAGAAATTTGGAAAAGACTCCACACCTCACCCAATCCATCTTCTCAGATCCCACAAATTCATCCCTTCCTAACACTATACACTGAGAATGACCCTTGCTATCCACTTGAAAACTCAATTTTTAAAAGTATCACATCAGCACTGCTTTGAAACAGAATTCTCATCCTTTTCATAAATAGCCTATTATCACACAACTGGCATTCCTTTGCAAAGCAATACACCTGAATCGAACCTAAGATTCATAATAACAGCGTTTGTTCAAGGATGAGATAGATTTGTGGAACAATATCAAAGCACTTGTTTTGCTTTTAAAGTATCCAACCCCTTCCCTAGATTAGCCATAAAAATTTTTTAAGGCATATTTCAAGATTTTTTTTAAACCAAATTAAAAGTCAATGACACTAAATTCTTTAGCTTTTTCATATACTAGCTCCTCTCCAGTGCTTCAGTTCTCCATCTAAGGTCAAACTGTTCTTATACACCCACTGGAACCTAGAAAGTACAGGGCTCCACAAAGACGACAAAGGAAGGGACAGAAGGAGGAAGAAACCACCTTTTTAATTAAAAAAAAAAAAAAAGTCCAACTTGTTACTAGAAGCAACTGACAGAAAGATAGGTATCTACAGCTGCACACGGCTCCCTTGAGCCTGGTATGCATTCCTATCTCGGGAGATGGGGCCGGGAGGACGAGGTGCAAGAGCAGAGCCGCTGGTATCAGCGGCCCAGCAGGGGCACAGGAGTTAATCTCTTTGGATGCCCAACTGCAGGAAGTCATTACATCATAGGCCTTTCCACACCTCTCCCTACCACGTGTCCAGTGCCCCAAGAGGCTGAAAACGAACAGTAGAGAGCCTCTCTTCAGGTTCACTTATAGGTAGAAGCCATTACGGTCCAGCCCTGTCAGCAAAACTCCCTCCCCAAGCCCTAGGTGAAGCGCCCGGCTCCAGTCCTCCACACCTGGACCCCCTGCCTCACACAGCGCCAGAATCCAGACCTCAGCGGGGCAGCAGCAGGTGCAGCGAGTCCCCGTGGAGGTGGAAGGACTGGTCCGTGCCAGGCCCCAAAGCATCTCAGAAGCTACCTGCTGTAGGGACATCTCTGAGGAACAGAGGTGTGAACACAGGCAAGGAAAGGAAACCGGCCAGGAAAAGGTTTACAACCACCGCTTTCTGTAATGGGACTGATGTGCCTGTGGGAGTGAACACCCACAAGCCGAAAACTTGGACACAAGGGTTCTCATCCAGGTAGTCACAACACACCAGGCTCCCGCAACCGTCTGAAAACCACAAATCCACCCCTCCCAAACCGTCCCCTCACTCCACCCGCAGTGGCCTCGCCGCACCCCCACGATGGGGGACTTCTACTCCAAAGTTGGCCGCAGACCTACCTTCTCTGCGATGACCCAGGAATCCGGCAAATACACTCCGGTCCGTCTGTCCTTCCCTCGCCGGTGTCCCTCAACCCCTCGCCTCACCTGGCCAGGCCTGAGGTTTCCCCAGGAGCCTTCTCTCCCCATCCTGCCACCTTCGCGGCCGTCCCCGGTTGCCCCTCCTCCGGGATCACACAACCCCCAAAACCTCACAGCGGAGGCTCTCCCTGCCAACCCCTCTCCCCCGCGCCCGCAGGAGCGCTCCGTCGAATCGAAGACGCGCCTCGCACTGCGCAGGAGGCCCGGCGGGTCCGGCTGCCCGCCCCAGGTGGGTACGCACCTTCCAGCCGGCAGAGCTGTTGCTGTCGCCCTTATCCTTGAAGTAGGGCACGCAGCGCACCATCCACTCATAGATCTGGGACAGAGTGAGCCGTTTGTCTGGGGAGCTCTCGATCGCGCGAGTGATCAGGTCGGCGTAGGACAGGTTCCCCCAGGCGTTCCTCCGCGACGAGCATTTCCTCGGCTGCCCGGAGCCCCCAGCCGCCCCCGGCTGCGGCGGTGGCAGTGGCTGCTGAGGCTGCAGCGGTGTCTGCGTCCCCCCGCTCAGCGCGCCCGCCGCGGGGGCTGGCCCGGACCCCGGGTCCTGCCCTCCAGGAGCCAGCAGCCGGGCCGAGTCCTCCAGGAGCAACCCAGAGCCCAGCGGGCCGCCCCCGCCGCCGCCGATCGCCATGGCCGAGCCGGCCCTACCGCCACCGTCCTCCTCGTCTTCATCGTCCTCCTCCTCGGGGATCATGGAGTCAGCAGCCGCCTCCCCAGAGGGCTTGGCCGGGCTCCCCTGGAGCTCCGGCCTCTGCAGGGGCCACGTACAGGAGCGCGGCCGGCTCTGGGGCTCGAACTCCGGGTCCAGCTCCACTTCGAGCGGAGAGATCGGGGCCGGGGAGGCCGGCGCCTCTGCCATCTTCGCCGCCCGCTCGCCCGCCCGCCCGCGGCTCGGGCTCTCGCGCTCTCCTCTCGCGCCGGGGCGGGGTGCGGCGGGGGAGGGACGGGGGCGCCGAGAAGGCTCGGGCTCCCAGGCGGCGCCGCCGCCGCCGCCGCTACTGCCGCCGCCTGGGGAAGCACGAAAGGAGAGAGAAGGAGAGTTGGTTATCCCGGGCTGGAACCCAGTCTTCGGCGAGTCCTCGCCCGCCGTCGCCGCCGCCACCGCTTCGCGACCGCCTCCCAGGAGCAGGCAGACCTGGAGACGTGCGTCCCGCGAACCTGGCGCAGCAGACGCCGCCCCCCGACCAGGCCGCTTGGGAGACGGGAGCGAATCGACGGGCTCGCACCGGGCACCCCCTCCCCCGCCGCCGCCGGAGCTGCAGGTCTCTCCTGGGCTAGGTGGCTGGGCGGGGAAGAAGGGGGAGGGGCGGGGCGGGGGAGGGGCGCGGGCCGCGCCTTTAAAGCGGGCAGCAGCAGGCGCTGGCGCAGCCCGGCGGCGGTCCGAGCCCGAGTCCGGGCTGGCGGGCGTGCGTTTGTTTATGTTTCGCTCCGGCCCGCTCAAGTGCTTCCCGCGACGCCGCCGCCAAAGTCTGTGGCGTCTTCGGCTCTTCTCCCAGTTCCCGGCCCTGCTGCCTCCGCGCCCCCCTGCCACCCCCTCCCAGCGGAGGGCTCGAGCCCGGGGACGGCGCGGGAAGCTCCCTATTTCCCTTTTCGCCCGCGGGCTGAGAGAGCAAGCGTGGGTCCGAGCGCAAACGGGCCCTTGTCACTTCCAGAAAGAAGGGAAGCCGGGAAAAAGGAGGGCAAGCAGCTCGGTGGCTCTTTGCAAAGGGTCGAGCCCAGCGGCAACGGCCACTTTCGGGGTTTGTGAGGCTTATTCTCCCGCGGGCGTTGTGCCCTACACCCCCTTCCCAGTGAAGAACGGGAGAAGGGGGCAAGTCGGAACGTAAATCTTCCAACAGGTCAGGAAGCACCAAGTCTCCCGGGCCGCCAGAAAGCCCAGACTAGCACGTTCTTCACCTCCTTGCTCCCGCTGCTGCCATCTTGACAGTTTACCCCTTCACTCAAGTCCTTTAAAAACACGAGCGGGAGAGAAGAGGGGCGCGCACACCGAGTCACGGGGAGGGAAAAGGGAAGCGCCTGGCCCAGCTCAGAAGCAGATCCGGAGTCGCCGGGAAGGCGGTCGACCCGCTCACAGCTCCGGCGCCTACCTCGGTTCCTTCCCCTCAGGGACGAGGGGGGAGGACGCACAATCCCGCGCGGGCCTGGGGCACGGTGAGGAGGGGGCGCGCAACCTCGGCCGAGGAGAGGCGCTCCGGCCGCCGCCGCAGCCCGCCTGAGAAACCGCCTGTCAGCCTGCGCCCCGCCGCCTTCCACATTCCTCCTCCTGCCTTCCACAAGCAGAGCGGCCCAGGCAGCAACACAAAGTTATAGACACACGCAGGGTGCCTCAACCTAGGCTGACGGCGGGCGGGCGGGTCCCCGCCCAGGGGGAGGGCTGGGCGGCGGGCCGGGGTGTGCTCGCGTGCGTGAGTGTGTGTGTGCGCGCGCGCCTGCGCGACCCGGTTCCGCGGGGCTGCAGGCTTGAGTGTCGGGGCGCGCGCCGGGGCCGAGACTCAGCCAGCTCCTCCTTCCTCCTGCGAGCCTCAACGACAACAATGCACGGCGCTGGCTCAGGAGACGAGGGAGGGGGGCCAGCAGAGCTCCAAACGCTCAACGAGCGCAGTCGCGTGGCCTCCCTGACTCCGAGCAGGACGCCTGGCACCCTCCCCAGCGACGAAGGGTCCCCGTCGCTCCGCGATCTGGGCCCGCCCTGGTGTCCGGTTCCCCATTAGAACCCGACACCAGGTAACACCCGAGATAAGATGCTGACCGCAGGCGGCAAGGGTTACCTCAGCGTGAAAATACTGGCAAGCGAAGATGTTGGTGTCCTCAGGACTTCGATAAGCTGATGCTCTCAGATTTGATCAGACATCAGGAGATTTGCAACTGAGTTAGGACACTTGACTGCAGTCGTGTTTCATTTTGCATGAATTTCACGGCCAGCGAGGGGAGAAGTGTAACTAACTCGGGAGAAAAGCAAATTATGCCATATTCCTAAATGCAAGAACAAATTCTGAACAACTGTGAAGGGGAAATAATGAGTCTAATTTTTAAATGACGGCAAAACAGCTCATTGTGCTTTTTTAAACTTTTTAAAAATAAAGACACTCCTTCAGGTTTAGAAAAACATCTTCACACGTCCTTATCCTACGACAGTACCCATGTCGTTCATTCGTGCACTAAGAATGCACTACATGCAACACACACACCGAGAGTCTATCAATTTTGATTTATAAATATCCCGCCCCATCCTTCCAAGTCACTAGAAGTATCTTAAGCAGTCCAGAGCGGGCTCGGCAACAACCCCATACACAAAAAGGTCCAACTCAGCGTAGGCAGGAATGCGCCCATCCACCATACTCCAGTTTCCGGGCTTTGCGCAGGACCCGTCACTCAAGTGACGCGCGGCCCCGCCCCTGCACCAAGCTAGTTCGACGCGTACAAACAGATGATGTCATTGTATCCACAAGCGCGTGACCCGGGATCTCTGCGCCGCATTGCCATTCGCTGCACCGCTCAATCGTCAAGCTATGCCTCGCTCTGACTGGCCGCGGCCAACCCGTCTCCAGGCCCCAGATACCCCTCTCCGCCCCCCGCCTCCGCCCCCCCATCAAATAATAAACAATCGAGTAAAATTCGATGGAAGGGAGGAGAGGACAGAGAGACGGCGAACCCAGAAACCAATCCTTCGCTTGCTGACGGAAGGGAGAGTTAAAAGGAGGAGGGTCTGAGAGGACCGGGTTGCGGGGGGAAGGAGCAGACCTGAGGCGATGTGTCCCGCCTCGATGAAGTGGCATCAGGGGAGGAAAGTTGGAGAGCACTCTGCGCGGCACGCCTGGTAACGCAGGGGGGCTCTAGGGCCCCGGAGCGGCCGGGCTCGGGACTCCGGGGCGGTGCGCTGCCAGCCGAAGGGGCGGAGATTGGGCCTCGCTAGCGCTGCGCAGGCGGAGCTGGCAGACACGTGCGGGAGGAGGGCGGACGCGCGCCGCAAGGGCTCGCCCCGGGCACGCGGCTCCGGGAGACGCGCGCGCTTGTTTACCAGCGCACGTGGGTGTTATTTTTAAATGGAATGTTGTGCTGGCAGCTGGGTTGAGTGGCTGGCGCGTGGGGCTGCCCGCGCCGGCTGGGGGACGCGGCGGGGCCCGCGCCGCGGCCTCTCTGAGCGCAGCTCAGGGGACAGCAAGGCTGTCCCCGCTACGGGCTTCCTTTGCAGACGGCCGCTTGGGCCTGATTGCGAGTTTCGCGCGCTGTTTCGTGAGTTTCAAGCCTCTACGGAGACAGCGTGTTCTCGCTGAGGAATACTGCCTTTTGTAAGCCCGGGCGCGGCTCCCTCATTCACATTCCGGAGCAAAGCCACCTGTTTTGTTCCCTTTCGTCCTGGAGGCCGCGCCAGGCTAGGGTCCGTGGCCACCGGCTCCAGAGCAGGTTTTAACACACTTAACTGGCACTAAACACCCTATCTGTGCCCTGCTCCCTTGCTCCGAATGTCCCCAGTCCATCTGTACCCGTCTCCTATGTAGACATCTCTGCCCGCGAGCAGCTGCGCTTCGTGTGCGGAGGTGGAGTCTAGAGTAGAGCGGTCTCCTTCCTGGGCTTGTTCCTCTGAGTGCAGCCCCGCTCCTCTCATCGTGGGCCTTGCCCCGCTGAGAAGCCCTGAGTTTGCATCTGGTTTCTAGCCTAGCAGTGTGGAAGGTGTGGTACAATTTATTGCTCTGAGTCTGGTTTTCTGCTTTGCACGAAGAACCAGGAGGCCGTTTCACCTAGGCTTTGCCCTGTGGTACAGCATAAAATCCAAAGAACTTTCAGTTGCTTCTTTTTAAAACTTTAATATGCTGTAAAAGAAATCACCCCCCTTTCTTCTCTAAATCTAGGCAATTCTTTAAGACATAGAAAGAATGTGTTTACACTGGCCGGGATCTCAGCCATTAGAATTTCACTAATGAAAACATGTTGAGTGTGTGTTCATTAACAGAATGCATATCCCACGGACCTTCCCCCTAAAATGAAAGAATTAAAGATTCCTAGATTAATTGAGCTCATTGTGACTCTCTTGGTGATTAAAGGGGGTAGGGACATAATAAAGCTACTTTCCTCAAAAAGCTTTCAGTCTTAATTGTGAGGATGAAACGTTTAAAAGCTCAGTATTTCAAGAGTTTAAAAGCAGTACAAGACAGAAGAGGTCATACATTACAGTGTTGGGTAAGTTTCTAAATGAGTTGAAGATCAAAACTTCAAAGGACAGTGACAATAAACATACAGACTGGTAAATGTGAATCTACCCAAAGAATTAACACTTGTAATGTGTTCCTATGGGCAAGCCTTGGAAAACTCAGACTGATTGTTCCTCTAAGTCGGAAATTGCTTTGACCTTTGTCTTCCCCTTGAAGGCTTCCTTGGTCCTTCATTTCTTTGCCGTTTAGTATAGGAAAGCTGAATAAGTTATGGCTGTGGATCAGGAAGGAATGCCAACATTACCTTTGCAATTGAATTTTTGGTCAAAATCTTCCCTACTTATTATACCTTGCTTATTTCTACAGATGATTTAAGGTAGTAACTGTGCACTCCAATTTGTAAATTCAACCATTGAAGGAACAAAACTTTAAAAAAATTTTTTACCTGAATAAGCTAAGTAAATGCGCCATCCCAAACACCTAATTTGTGGGGGTTTTGATAATAGATGCCAGAGTTCTCTGAGAAGTCAGCATGAACACTAGGCCCTACCCGGTCCCCTTTGCAGCTGGATCCTCCCTCTAACGCCAGAGCCCAAACACCAGGGACTGAGCATTCTGCCCATGAGCAAAGTGTTCATTTCCCTCTTGGATTGGCTTCTGTGTCTATTTCAAGAATGAAGAGAGGAAACACAAACAATACAGCCTCCAA